CATTCCATCCAGGCTACAAGCCTATTGATTAGTAGCAACCACACCAAGTGTGGGGCTTCCATTATCCACACCTAGAACTATGGTAAAGCCAATTTAGTTATCATACACCCTTAATTCTAGCACCACATCCTTAATCCACATTCATACACCCTAGATCCAGCCACCTACAGAAAGCCCCACCTATGAGTGCATACAGCTTTTTTTGTGGGGGAGACTTCTAGATACAAGCCATGACACCATGCAAAGTACTTTGCTTCAATTTATATCAGTAATCTTTTCATCAAGCACACACTTCTTGCCCCCTACTTCACATACACTTTCTCTCTGTTGAAATTGTAAAATTTCACATCTTTTGGCTCTGATTTTGCTCCTGACTTTCCCTATATATCTTCTAAAAGCAGTTTGCTTAAGTGGTGCCCCTCACCTAGTTGGAACAAGCAGGCCCATTCTAGGTACATGGTGCCCTCCTTCCCCACAAGGCAAGACCATCCAGTAACTCCAAGGTGGCTCTGCATTTTGCTTGCCCTTGGCATAGTGCAGGAGATGTGAGGCCTAAGCATCTCTCCTGATTCTGGATGAGAAGAATTCCCTAGAGAAAGAAGGGAACAAACAGACCTCATGAGTATTGACATTAAGTCCACCAGTCCACTTGAACCCCCCTGCCATAGGCTACCCTCAGCAGATACCAGAAAGCTGATTACATTTCCCATCTCCCATCATCAGCAAGGCTCTGCCTTGGCTTGGACAGTGATCGCAATCTGAGTTAAACAGACAGAGGGGCCTATGGTGCAACAAGGACACCTCAAAGACTCATAAGCCTTAAACCAGGCAGAGAAAAATTGGGATTGGCTGGATCCCAACATTTCTCTTCTTGGAAAAAAGAAAACATTTATTCAAAACCACAAGAATATTTTTTTGTATTGGGAATAGAACTTGGGTCCTTGCACTTGTGCAGCAGGTGGCGAAACCGCTGAGCTAAATCCCCGGCCACACAGGAATTTTTCAACTCAGTGTTTTTTTATTTTTATTTTTTTGATTTTCATGATTTTTATCTTTCTTTCACAGGTTTTCTTGGAGACACCCTTGTGTTTTCCTGTCTTTCTTTATTTTGGTTTCTTTTCTCTTTTCAAAATTTTTCGCTTCCTTCTTACCTTTCATTTATTTCCTGTTTTGCTCTCTAATCATCTTTTTCTTCTTTCTCTTATTTATGCATTCCTGCAACTATTCCCTAAGAAAGCAAATTTCTTTTATTCCACTTTTCTCTTTTCCTTCTCATATCTCATAGGTTAGCTTTTCAAATTTTTCTTTTCTCATTCACTAGTTCCCCATAATCTCTAACTGTACTAGTATAATTACCAAACTTTATAAATTATCTTTACACAATTGCTGTTGAATACTGTTCTAGTGTTAGTAGAGATTAAGTTGTTTTACTTAGTAGATATTTACTGTAGGTCAATAGCATGTCAATATTTGATTTGTCTTGGTATTCGTACTATAATTATAGATTTATTTTCTATGTTTAAGGGTAGTACATTATTGGACCTTAGGGTTTGTCATACTCACTTTGTATTTGATACTGTAATTGATGCTCATTTTATTCTGTAGCCAAAGTTACATAGCTGTTGCTATTAATTGATTTTGTTGGGATGCCAATAGCTGGATTGCCTTCTGGTCACAAACGTTACTATGGTCCATTCCTGAAGAACTGGGTTCTGGCTCCCATTCCAAGTAAATGGCTGTGACTGGATCCTTGGACAGAGGCAAAGGCCAATAGTTAGACTTACCCAGAAGACACAGCTGAAAAGAAAATATTGAGGGCGGGGGATTTAGCTCAGTGGTGCCACTGCCTCCCTCACAAGAGCAAGGTCCCGAGTTCAATCCCTGGTACCAAAAAAAAAAAAAAAAAAAAGACATTGAGACATTAATTAGTACATTCATTAAGTGGTCTTCATATTAGAAGCAAAGCCTTCTACTTCAGTCAACACACAAGCTTTAACACATTAGTAAGCAAACAAAAAAGTAGAAGCATAAGAAGACAAGTCAAAATAATGCCACCCCAAACTCCCTAAGTGCCCTGAATCTGATCCATGGGACATCATAGGGGCAGAATCTAAAAGCCACACATCCCTTGAAATGATACCAGGGGAGAAAACAAAGGAGATCAATAAGTATTTGACTAGCTCAAAGAAGATATAGCTAGAAAAAAGGGACCAAATAAACAAAAAGTATCAGTGAGTCTAAAGAAGACACTATTTGCCAATCTGCAGAAATTTTCCCATTTAATAGGAGCTCAATATTATTTAGTATACATTATTTCTGCCTCCTTTTACAAATAAGGACACTGATTCAAAGATACTTGATGTAATTTGTCCAAGATCACTTGTCTAAAACATGGAAAATTCAGAACTAAAACCAATAAAGTTTGGATTCCACCGTCTTAAACATTAAGCTCCTTTTTGGTAGTAATATTATATATTCATTACAGACCCAATATATTTTATTTATTTGCTAATGTGCTACATTAAAAAATTATTTATGATAACATGATAATCTGATCATGAGCATTTTTTAATGTAGAAATTGGTACAAGAAACCAAATTAAAATTCTAAAATATTTTCACTTACTTAAAGGCCTTGTGCTATAAACACTGCCAAATACTTTAAATGCCCTCCAAAATAATCCATGAAGGGTGTGCACATATATAAAGGGAAAAGGCATAGTTTAATAAATACATATGTATATTAATATCCTTATATCAAACAAGTTATCTTTGTGGGAGAAAACTTTTTTAGAATATGAAATATTATTCAAGTTCAAGACCTGAATTCTTAAATCCAACATTTTTATTCAGTCGTATGTGAATAAAATACATAGTTAATTGGTAGGCAAGATCTCAATGTACTAGAATCTAATTATAGAGTCCTCAGAATACTAGTGAGATAAAAGTTAATGAGACATTTGAAAGATATTAGAGTTTTATGATATTGATTTACTTTGAAAAATGGCAAAGATAAATTTAAGTTTAATATGTTGAATCAAATTTTCTTCAGTGTGGAATTCTAATCGAAATAAATATTATACATATTTGTGTGTGTGTTTCTAATAAAACTTATTTTTTTCTATATTGATTGTGGTTTTGTCATGGTCCAAGAAATTTAATCAGTCATATTATCATTACTCTCTGAATTATAGTAAATGAAGGGAACAATTATAGTACTCCAACTCAGCACTAATTCAAATATGATTGGACATATACTAATGTTAACCAAATAATTACAAGCACGAGTCTACATTATTATCATAAGTATTATAATAAGGAAAGAACTGGCATAGCATCTTACAGAACACTTTTCAAATGAGATTTCCCCCTACAACAAAAAGTGAATATTAACTTTAATATTATAAAGTCCTTTAATTTTGTAGTGTTAATATTGTATGGTCTTTAAATCACAGATTAAAAAAATCTTATGTAGTACATTTTCCAATGAATTGAGACTTGGTTTGTAAATTACTTAGTATAATGAAAACCATATAATTGATTAAACAGATGAGTCATAAGGAGGCAGTTTATGATCTATGACTATAACGCAAGTGAAAAATGAGAGGAATTAATGTCATATCCATAAAATATCAAAGGTTATTTACACCAGAAAATCATACATGAGAATAAATATAAGTAACCTTAAACAACCATTGTTAGTTTGAAAATGAGTCTGCATGATATAAACAATTACTTTAAAGGAAAGATTTTATTTGTTGTGTTTTCAATATAGCTGTATTATTATATTAAAGTAGTGTGTACATATATTGATAAAATGCTATGCATTTTCAAATTAATTTTTTCTTGGTATTTATATAGGAAATTTAGATTCATTCCTTTATAAAGCTTTGAAATTGCTAACTCTGTTTAGTGTCATCTATGGTGTGAAGTATCCTCATAGCTAGGAGATAGTTTGATCACCACAAACATTCCCCGAGAATCTATCATTGGCTCCAGAGAAGTTTGAATAAATAAATAAATGCAATATATATGGTGTAAATTGTGCATTTAAAAATGTATATGTGCTTGCATCATTGACTAAGCAGTAAAATCTTTGAGAACAAGAACCATATTTTATTCATAATATTTTATTCTTACAGCTTATCACAATATTAACCTAAGTAGGAAATTACTGTATTAGTTTGATGTGCTTTCAAAGGCAAGTAACAGAAAACTCAACCATCACAGTTTAAATAAACATTAGATAATCCTTCTCACAGTGTATACCTCTGAATCCAGAAGTATACATTCTAGGCCTCAAGCAGTAGCTTAGTCATTAAGCCAACCTCTTTTCCCTTTCTGTTCCATCATTTTAAATGACAAGAGGTCTGTTACACTTGCTTCTTCTCTAAACATCTTGGTTTAACCAGGAAGAAAGCAGAATAAAAAGGGTTTCTGATGTTCTTTCTTTCATTAGCCTTCATATGCCTGCTTTCAGGCACTGAACAGTCACTGGGATGGAGAACATCATGGAAGATGTAGATCAATTGTAACTTTTAGCCTCTTGGATTGTGATACGGTTTATCCAACCAGGTGTGAACAGAGTCCTCATTCTACCTCAACAAATGGAGGTTTCATTCACTTAGGAAAAGGGGGCCATTGTGTAGTTAGTGCTTAACAATACTACAACTTTTATTTTGTGGTGGACTATATTACAATAAATATTACCTGAATAAAATTAGATTTTTGAAAGGAATTATTATGTCACATGCTAGCCCCAGTTTTATCTTTATGGGTTGTTTTGTATTTATTTGGCAAAATTTAATATGATTAATTTTTATTTCTATAGACAATTACAAACTCACAAATTCCTATATATTTTTAGTTGTGGTGGAAGGGAAAATATGCAACACAGAAAAGATGCATCATTTTTAACCTTGTTTTTTTCCCATGTAAGTCTTGCTTTTAATAATTACAGGGGAAAAGTTAATGTGTAATTTTTTTCTCTGTTTTTTTAAGGCCTTAAAAGATAAATTCAAATTTTGATCCCATTCATCAATTAATCAAGGAATCACAAATCTTCTAGATGCAGCAGTCATCAGTTAAACCACACTGTGACAGGGTAGCACCTGCCTCCTCCCCCAGGGATCCCATTAATTCTTGCTTTCCACATTATGGGCTGCAAGCTCACACCAGCCACAGTTTCAGTGCTCACTCATTCAACACCAACAGCTGGGATGTTAGTGAAGAACTTCGACTGCAGGAACTTGAAGAAGTCAAGGCCAGAGCTGCTCAGATGGAAAAGACCATGCGATGGTGGTCAGACTGCACTGCCAATTGGAGAGAAAAATGGAGTAAAGTTCGAGCAGAAAGGAACAGTGCCAGGGAGGAAGGAAGACAACTCAGAATAAAATTAGAGATGACAGTGAAGGAATTGAGTGTGCTTAAAAAGAAACAAAGTCTGTTACTGCAAAAGGAAGCATCAGAAGCCAATATCACCCAGGACCTGGAGCTTCCTACTTTTGTAGACATGTCCTACAGGGATGAAGACCAATTTCAAACTACTTCACAAATGTATGATTCTATTGGGAAGTATTTGGTGAAAAGACAATTTCCTATAGAGAAGAACACAAATAGTAAGGTAAGAAAAAATTCACGGAGGAAACCAGAGATTATGTGCAGTTTAAATGTATGTTGTGACAGGGAGGAAGGGAGACTGATAAACGCGGCCATGACTGAGTTCATCAGCCAGGATTGCCATAAGGAAGGATAAAAATTTGTATGGTTTATGCAACCAAAATTTATTGTTTTTCACAGTTCTAGGAACTAGAAGTCCAAGAGAAAATTATCAACAATGTTAGTTTCTTCTGACGTGCCTCTCTTTACATTATACAGTGATGGTTTCTCTCTGTGTCTTCATGCCATCTTTTCTGTTTACATCTGTCTCCAAATTACTTCTTACATGAACAGTATCATTAAACCATTTTAATGACAATATTTTAACTTTATCACCCCTTTAACCACCCTATCTCCAAATACTGTTTATTTGGATCCTGGAGTTCTAGGTGTCAGGACTTCAGCATATGAATTTTTGCAGTACATGATTCAGCAGTGTCATCATTAATATTTATAGAAGTAACACAGCATTTTTTATGGGAGCTGAAAATATTTGGAGCTATGTCTCTATTCATCCTACTTATGTCAATAATAAAAAATAGTTCTAGAGCAGTTTGAATGTTTCCTGCAGTTTGGGACTTTGGCCTTACAATGAACTCTTTGTGAAATGATACCTTGAAGAAATATAGCAAATGCTTCACATGATCCACATTTGGATGTTCTTTGTACAATTTGAATCTTGAAGTTTCTAAAATTTTACACAAAATACAGTTTTAAAACTTTATTAA